CATAGAAATCTACAGAGCGACCTCAAAAACGGAAGTTCAAAGACAATATTCTAAAGATGACGGCGCCCACGTTTCTCTGGTGCATAAGGTTTATACAGACCTAGGCCAGACGGCTTGCGCGCCTATTGGCTGTCCTGCGGCAATTGCAGCAGCCTATCGAGAGAGGCCCTATCGTGACGTCAGTCCAATCAGTCCAACGAAACGGGCGTGGCCTGGGCCTATAAATACGCTCGAATAGCTGCCACAATCTGGTTTTTCATCGCCGAAGTGAACCAGCGCGCAAAGCAAGAACGGCAAAGATACGCAGTACTCGTTCCCTCTTCTAGAGAGAACCGAGGTTACGTTAGTAACCGAGTACGTTCTCTTACGAGAGGTTCTCTCGTACTGCGTAATATCTTACGCTATGGGGAACACCATGCAAAACGCCGTGCGCGCTGAGATCAACACCAAAGACCCAAGGGCGCGTGCCCGGGGTTCATATAGTGCACAATCATCAGAGAACTCACAGAGAGTTAGGGAAGAGAGGCCAAGGATCATTCCCAAATAAATGGCGTCCAGAGGAGGCCAGTCACAGACAGTTTCTCACGCAGTCAAGGGAAACATTTTTCCATCCTGAACTGGTTAACATAATGGGTCTTTAGTCGCGCACAAGTTACTGTGAGTAAGTTGTGCCTAAGCATCTGACAGTATTCTGAGCCGAACAACGGGGCAGACATTACTGTTTCAGACCGAGAGTAATCTAGCCTGCAAGGCGGGAACTTCTAGGTTGTAAAACCTGATAAAAGTAGACGGGGAGGCCCAGCCTGCCGCCATACAGATATCTTGTAACGAAATTCCGCTAGACCAAGCCCACGACGAGGCCACGCCCCTCGTGGAGTGCGCTCTGACACCCAAAGGGCACTGCAGGCCCGTGGAAGTGTAAGCCAGCGCTATGGCATCGACTATCCATCTGGATATAGTCTGTTTCGAAGCGGCTAGCCCCTTAAGGCGCCCGCTGAACGAAACGAACAGTTGCTCTGTCTGTCTGAAAACAGACGTGCGCAACACATACGCTTTTAATGCCCTGACGGGGCAAAGGAAGCTTATGCCGTTCTCCTCAGTATTGCCCGGTAAAGCACACAGGGAAATAACCTGGGCTTTAAACGGCGTGTTGAGGGATTTAGGCACGTAAACGTGTCTTGGTTTGAGTGTGACTTTCGAGTCATTAGGCCCAAACTCCATACACGTCGCGCTCACCTAGAGCGCTTGCAAGTCCCCTATGCGTTTCACTGAGGCCAGAGCCAAGAGAAACGCTGTCTTAAAGGACAGGTGTTTCGTGTCCGACAAGTGTATAGGTTCAAACGGGGCACCTTTCTTGGCTTCTAGAACCGTGGAAAGGTCCCACACAGGGACTGAAGGAGGCCTAGGAGGTTTTAGTCTCCTGGCTCCTTTAAGGAAAAGGATAATCAAATCGTTCTTTCCCAGTGACTGGCCAGACGCTGGTTTCACAAACGCTGTTATGGCCGCCACATAAACCTTGAGCGTGGATGGTGTCCTGCCCTTAACCAGTAGCTCTTGAAGGAAGGAGAGAACTTCCGTAACCTGGCAGTCTGGTGGTGAAACCCCTCGGGCTTCACACCAGCCAGAGAACACAGGCCATTTCGAGGAGTAGAGCCGTCTCGTAGACTGAGCTCTCGCCTGCGCGATCGTGTTTAACACTCCCTCTGGGAGGTTAGTGGGTACCCGTTGATGGCCCACACATGTAGTGACCATAGATCCGGGCGAGGGTGCCAAACCGAGCCCTTGGCCTGCGAAAGGAGATCCTTCCTTATCGGTATGGGCCACGGGACAGTGCTTGTCATCAGCATCAGAACTGGAAACCAAGCTTGGTTTTTCCAGAGCGGAGCAACTAGTAGCACCGAGCACCCACTTTCCCTGATTCGTTCTAGCACTTGTGGTAGAAGCGAGATGGGGGGAAAGGCATAGAGCGGGCAGCTGGGCCATACGTGGGCCAGTGCGTCCTCGCTCTTCGAGAAAAATTTCGGACAGTGAGCGTTTTCTTGAGACGCGAACAGGTCTATCTGCGCTCTGCCGAACATGCTCCACAGCAGTTGGACCGTCTGCGGGTGCAGAGACCATTCTCCTGCCGGGACATTGTTTCTGGACAGTCTGTCCGGTCCGAGATTTAGGCGACCAGGCACATGCGCCGCTCTCAGCGAGCGTAAGTTATGCTGAGCCCAAACCAGGAGGCGTTCCGCCAGCCTGTAAAGGTTCCGGGACCTGAGACCACCCTGGCGATTTATATAGGCTACTACTGACATGTTGTCCGAGCGGACTAAGACGTGGTGACCTCTTATCTGGGGACAGAAACGCCTCAGCGCGTTGTCTACCGCCAACATTTCCAGGCAGTTTATGTGCAGGAGCTTCTCTCGTTCTGACCACTGGCCAAAGAACGGTCTGCCCTCGAGCAACACTCCCCATCCCGAGGTGGACGCGTCCGTGGACACCACTTTCACACTCGGGGAGGTCCCCAGGCGTACGCCTGTCTGGTACCAGTCATTCGTATTCCAAGGCGCCAGAGCTGAAACGCATTTCAGGTCGACCCTGAGACGAAACAGACCTGAGGTCCATGTGCGAGACGGCAGTCACGCTTTTATCCAGAACTGCAGTGGGCGCATACGAAGTAGACCCAGCTGCAGAACTGGTGAAGCTGAGGACATGAGACCCAGCATTTTCTGAAATCTCCTTAACGGGACTATAGTACCGTGGCGGAAGGATTTCACTGAGCGCTGAATGTTCATCCTGCGCTCTGGCGACAGGCACGCCTTTATAGACAGCGAGTCCAGTTCTGTGCCCAGGAAGAAAATTTTCTGGCTGGGGGACAGAGAACTTTTCGCCCAGTTGACTTTGAGGCCCAAATTCTCAAGGTGTTCGAGTAATACGGTCCTGTGTGTCATAAGCTCTGAAGGTGATCGAGCTAGAATCAGCCAATCGTCCAAATAGT